CATGTTTCCCAGATTAAGCCTGTGTCGGTTAGCCCTCTGTGCCCGCCCTCTCGTCCCCCTCCTCCGCCCAGGATCGTGGGTGGGGGTCCGGTCTACACTGTCCGGCGACTTCTGGATGTTCGCCGCCGGGGTCGTGGTTTCCAGTACCTGGTGGATTGGGAGGGTTATGGTCCTGAGGAACGTTCTTGGGTGCCCAGGAGCTTCATTGTGGATCCTGCTCTGGTCCGTGAGTTTCATAGGTTACATCCTGATAAACCCTGTCGGTCGCCAGGTGGCGTCCGTAGAGGGGGGGGTACTGTTAGGCCTACTGCTGCTAGGTAGCTCTCTCTCTGCTCTCCCCCTCCCCTCTGTCTGTCCTTGATTGCAGGAGTGAAGTCTGGTGTGCGGGAGTCAGGGTTCCAGCTGCAGCTCATTCACCATAATCACCTCAGCATTTAAGACCCGGTCAAACTTTCCACTCATCGTCAGATCATAGTCAAGACGACCATGTTAGTCTCGCTGCCGACTCAACCTGTTTGTTTTCGCTCTTTGTGTTTTTGGCCTGTTCTATTTACTTTTCTCCTGTGCCACAGATTATGGGAACCTGACTTCTGCCTCCGCTTCACTCCTGCCACCACCATCCTGCTCCCCACTACCGGACCTCCCTTTTGGACTCACCACGGACACTAGGACATTACGGTACCACACCTGCCCTGACCTGGATCTGTTACCCGGACTTGCTCTTCCCCTATTATTGGAAACCTGGACTTTTTGAACATTGTAAATAAACCTGTTAAACCTTCTCTGGCTTGGTGTACTTGTCTGCATTTGGGTTCTAATCCAGTTAAATCATGACAACCTTGTCATTTCCATTACGACCCATATTTTTTTAGGTAAATGAGTATATTATGTATAATTTACATTGATTGATTTGTTTTAGATAGGGAAATCATATGGTTGTTATCATAATCTCACAAAAAGCTTGGGTGGAAATATCTTATTTTTCATGAGAAATAAATGTTTTCAGCTGTCACCAAGGCAAGTTTATACATTCAGGCGTCATGTTGAATTATTAATATTAGGAAAATAATTACTTAAACGATACAAGTTAATGTATAATGTCAAATTTATAAGAAATGTGTTATAAATAAATTGTATGATATTTCATTTTCAACTAAAATGGATGTTTAATGACGTGATGGAAATTACTTTTGTCTATGGCTGTCTGGGAAAGATGACAAAAAAATATAAATTCCAGAATAGTACAATCGCAGCCATAATCAGATATTGTTTCTTCACAAATCAAATACAATTATAATACTGGTAAAATGGTGTTTCAGTAAGTTTTTATTTATGAAAGATTGCAGTGCCCGAAGTTGCAGAATCACCCAAATAGGAAATTAATCAAATAATATTAGGTTACACAAATATTAGTTTTCATTCATACAAAGTGTCGGGTGAATTGCCACAGTAGATTTGCCGTGGTAAATTAGGAAATACTGTACTTTATTTATATTGTACGGAATGCTTGTAAAAATTAAATCCCCTTTAGGGCTCAATCTATTCAAACTGAAGCGTTACAGATTCCGAGATAGAAATGTAAAGGTAATTTCCGATTGAGCCGGCGTTTATCATGAATGCAGTCTCTGCTAAAGCGGGAACATTGCCTTTAAATTTCAGTCATGCTGTAAAGCTGAATTTCTGCGATGCGGATTGAATAGAGCCCTTAGTCTGTTCAAAAAGGACACTAAATTGTTCCGATTATAATACCAACCAGAGGGCGAAATCTTGAAATACTTTGGTTGCAAGCAGGACTAACATTAAGGTCACACACATATTTTAGGGAGCGGTAATGAGGTGACCAATAATGGTTGCAACTGGAGTTCAGCTGTGCAGGTGAATTTAGCATGTAGGCCTATGTATGGTTGAATGACATCAACTGGCGATAATCTGTGCGGCAGGTAGCTTAGTGGTTAAGAGCATTGTGCCAGTAACCGAAAGGTCGCTGGTTCTAATCCCCGAGCCGACTAGGTGAAAAATCTGTCGATGAGCCCTTGAGCAAGGCACTTAACCCTAATTGCGCCTGTAAGTCGCTCTGGATAAGAGCGTCTGCTAAATGACTAAAATGTAAATGTAATCGATGGTTGAAATAGCCCCATTGTTATTTGATTATATTCCAATAGGCTCTGTAGGCTACCTGTTAGCTTATCCAATGTCGTCCCCTTGGCTCCGTCAACTCTATTACCATCCTACCAACAAATATGTAAGACAAATTGAGTTGCATACACCCAATGTCACATAATGAAAGGTGTGAAAACCGATAATAGGGTTTCCCAAACTCAGTACTTTGCTGAACTGACGCCACTGGGCTGGTCACTAGATCGCCCAGCACTCATGAGGCTTGGAGCCGAGCGCACTACTCGGCTTTGGCAGTTCACAATGCTCTCTAGCAAGCACTAAAATAATAGATACATAGGCACGTCGTTTTTTTTATCATTTTGATTTAGACCTTCCCAAACCATAGCACTAACCTTAAGGACTCGGAAATTCCTTAACTGTTAACCTTTGAGTTGTGTGCTGGGGTCAGTGGCAGTAACCGCAAGACCACACGGGCACTGAGGTAACCAAAAACATTTATTCTACCTATTGCTTGCCTTCAACATATAAAACCATTGATACAAAATGTAAATAAATCCCTAACAAAAAATACATCTACCCCCTACAAATATGTCAATTCATAGTGAACAAAAATATAAACTCAACATACAACAATTTCTAAGATTTTACTGAGTAACAGTTCATATAAGGAAATCAGTCAATTGAAATAAATAAATTAGGTCCTAATCTATGGATTTCACATTACTGGGAATACAGATATGCATCTGTTGGTCACAGATACCTTAAAAAAAGGTAGGGGCGTGGATTGCAAACCAGTCAGTATCTGGAGTAACCACCATTTGCCTCATGCAGCGCGATACATCTCCTTCGCATAGAGTTGATCAGGCTGTTGATTGTGGCCTGTGGAATGTTGTCCCACTCCTCTTCAAAGGATGTGTGAAGCTGCTGGATATTGGTGGGAACTGGAACATGCTGTCATGCACGTCAATCCAGAGCATCCCAAACATGCTCAACGTGTGACATTACATCTACATTTTAGTCATTTAGCAGACGCTCTTATCCAGAGCGACTTACAGTTAGTGAGTGCATACATTATTTAATTTTTCATACTGGCCCCCCGTGGGAAATGAACCCACGCCATGCTCTACCAACTGAGCTACATCCCTGCCGTCCATTCCCTCCCCTACCCTGGACGACGCAGGGCCAATTATGCACCGCCCCATGGGTCTCCTGGTCGCGATGCAGTGCCTTAGACCACTGTGCCATTCGGGAGGCCAGTGAGTATCCAGGCCATGGAAGAACTGGGAGGAAGCAAGGAAGAACTGGGACATTTTCATCTTCCAGGAATTGTGTACAGATCCTTGTGACATGGGGCAGTGCCTTATCATGCTGACACATCAAATCAAATCAAATTTTATTTGTCACAATCGGCGAATACAACAGGTGTAGACCTTACAGTGAAATGCTTACTTACAAGCCCTTAACCAACAATGCAGTGTTAAGTAAACAATGGATGCATAAAAAATAAAAGCAGTAAAATAACAGTAAAAATAACAGTAGAGAGGCTATATACAGGGGGTACCGGTTAGTCGAGGTAATTGAGGTAATATGTACATGTAGGTAGAGTTAAAGTGACTATACATAGATAATAAACAGAGAGTAGAAGCAGCGTAAAGGGGGGGGGGGGGGGGGGGGCAATGCAAATAGTCCGGGTAGCCATTTGATTAGTTGTTCAGGAGTCTTATGGCTTGGGGGTAGAAGCTGTTAAGAAGCCTTTTGGACCTAGACTTGGCGCTCCGGTACCGCTTGCCGTGCGGTAGCAGAGAGAACAGTCTATGACTAGGGTGGCTGGAGTCTTTGACAATTTTTAGGGCCTTCCTCTGACACCGCCTGGTATAGAGGTCCTGGATGGCAGGAAGCTTGGCCCCAGTGATGTACTGGGCCGTACGCACTACCCTCTGTAGTGCCTTGCGGACGGTGGCTGAGCAGTTGCCATACCAGGCAGTGATGCAACCAGCATGAGGTGATGGCGGCGGATGAATGGCACAACAATGGGCCTCAGGATCTCGTAATGGTATCTCTGTGCATTTAAATTGCCATCGATAAAATGCAATTGTGTTCATTGTCCTTAGCTTATGCCTGCCCATACCCCACCGCCACCATGGAGCACTTTGTTCACAACGTTGACATCAGCAAACCGCTCGCCCACACCACACACGTGGTCTGCGGTTGTGAGACCGGTTGGACGTACTGCCAGCTTCTCTAAAATGATGTTGGAGGCGGCTTATGATAGAGAAATGAACATAAAATTCTCTGGCAACAGCTTTGATGGACATTCCTGCAGTCAGCATGCCAATTGCACGCTCCCTCAAAACTTGAGACATCTGTGGCATTGTGTTTTGTGACAAAACTGCACATTTTAGTGTGGCCTTTTATTGTCCTCAGCACAAGGTGCACCTGTGTAATGATCATGCTGTTTAATCAGCTTCTTGATATGACAGCGCCTGTCAGGTGGATGGATTATCTTGGCAAAGGAGAAATGCTCACTAACAGGGATGTAAACGAATTTGTTCAGAAAATTTGACAGAAATAAGCTTTTTGTGCGTATGGAACATTTCTGGAATCTTTTATTTCAGCTCATGAAACATTTGACCAACACTTTACATGTTGTGTTGACTGTATATTTTTGTTCAGTGTATTACAATCCACATAAAAAATATATTCATGGCAAAGTGATGGTGGCCTAGCCACTGAAGAAATAGATCATCCATGATAGATTATCACACCACCATCATACTTCAGTAATTCTGCCAAATGCAGTGAGAAGTATAATACTTGGGGAGAGGCATTCTGATTACTCTGAAATGATGTTCTCTTCTCATGCCTCAACCCACAGATGATCAGTGCCATTTTTTTTTTTTAAGGCTTTTAAACTTCAATCGTCTTAAGAGGGATGAGACGAATCGAACAAATAGTGAGGAATCCATCTCATCCCTTTAGCTTTTTTCCTGTCTCACTTTCATATCGTCCCCTTGGCTCCGTCAACTCTATTACCATCCTACCAACAAATATGTAAGACAAATTGAGTTGCATACACCCAATACCCATCACAATTATGGGAGGCCCAATAAGAAAATGAGTCATTTGGTGGTATAATTGGAAATGCGCCTTGCCTGGCCTCTCTCCGGTCTCCCAGAGGGCTTTGCTCATTTGTAGAGGCACGCTAGGCTGGCTAATTCCAGCACTAATCACTGACAAACTGCAGCATCAGGCCCTTCCTCCTATACTTCTACTGGAGCGGAGAGAACGGGATTGTTTGGAGAAAGTTACGAGGAATTGCTTTGTTAGGTTTGGCATGGCTGCTTGTTAGGTTGTAAGTGTTTTTTTTCTTCCATAATACGTTTAAAAACAACACAAACTCCACTATAATAAAATACATTTAATCACCAACCAACTCTGGGGTGGGTTAATTTCCCTCCATTGGTTAGCAGACAAATCACCTTTGTATTTATTCACAGAAAGTGACAGACATACAAAGGGGCTAATAGAAACAAGTTGCCAAAATTGTGTTTTTTTCTGACAGTCTCAAAATCACATCTTTAAACCTAATGAAGAAAATAGTCTCTTCAAGCCAAACCAGTCAGGTCCATTCTGAACTAACATCTAGACTGGTGCTGTTCATAAGTCTTTAGAGGAGCAGGGCCAGACCACAGGAAGAGGTATGCGTTTATGTCCTGGGTTCTGCCTTCTGTTCTGCTGTGCTGTGCTGTGCTGTCCATCTCTCCTGCTAGCTCAGAGCATGTCACTCCCGCACTGCACCTTAAGCGAACGAGCTCTTCCCGAATAGTGAGCGATACAACTCAGTCCTACACCATCAAGGAGAAAAACAAATGTTAAACATAACTTTTTTCAAGAACAAGCATCATGGCAAAATTATGATCAAACCTGGCTTTCGCCACAGGCGTAACATTTCAATGTGACAGAATAGGTAATCAGTGAGTGACAGAGGGATGAGACAGAAAAGAAGGAGAGGTCTCAATCATGCATCGGGAGCAGGAATAATTCCACATTCATGCGTCTCAATGACTTGACGGCACTTGAGAGACAATGCCAGTGACCCAGTTGCAGGATTCCAATTACTGGGTATATGCAATAGGCCAGATGAGAGGAGAGACAGAGCAGGGTCTTTACGGAGGCCAGGGCCATATGATTATGGCCTGAACACAAGTGTCTGTCACTGTCTTGCCTGTCCATGACAAAAAGCAGACCAACACACAGCCAGGCAGGGCGGGAGGGAATCAGGGAAAGGTCCCAGCTGCACTCAATCTCCATCTCGCTTGGCTGGGCTGCCTCCTCCTTCCCTGACCAGCTCAGTCATTTCAATCAGTCAAATGTTCCAGACAAAGTGTCTCTACTCAGAAAGATGGACCGATAGAGTTTAATTTTGAGACAGGGCTGGTTTTGTTTGTGTACGACTGTCTGCACATAGATCACAATTATTTTTTTCTACATCCATAAAACATAATGTTCAGCATATACATGCAAATGCACAGCATGTGAAGCCTGTGTGCGTCTCTCTGCATATGGAATAGACACTAGATGGCAGTATGTAATGTCACCAGAAGTGACATGTCTCCGTTAATTGTGTTGAGACTATTAGAGAATCAAGGGAGCCAGTTGACCTGTGCTGGTCTGGTGCAGCCAGTTGACCTGTGCTGGTCTGATCTGAATGCAGCCAGTCATGCCAGGACTGCTGTGGGTCCACTTCCATGGGAAAAGGCAAAGGACGCGACCAACTATAGGTAGCCTAGAGGTAGTCCCTGAAACATCACTGCAGAACATGAACAGGACAACCATTTCTCCCACACTGCACTGCTATTTACTGCAGTGGTATCAAACAACCTATACATTCTGTTGGCCAGGGTAGAGAATTAACCACTCCTACAATAGCATATACAGATTATAATCTATTACAAATCTGTGTATCCACTACGGCATAACCAGTCAGTGCAGGGTCCCAGTCACTGTATCTGTGTAATGTGTTGTGTTGTGTTAAAGAGGGGCCTTGTGTTGCTCTCAGGGAGCAGGGAGCCAGCCTGTCTGTCAGACAGCCACAGGGGCTTAATCCCCAATCCTAATTTGAAATGCGCCACCAGGGTCAAGGATTACAATACACTGATCATCACCACATAATGCATAAATTCTCATTCCGCCTGAGCTCGGTAAACATTGGCTGGGGAATACTGAGGAGCGCCGGGAAGACAGGGGAGGAGGAGAGGAGAGGAGAGGCTCAGAACCCAGCATAAAATAGGACTGACTGACTGTGTCTCTGTGTGTGCGATTGAGAGAAGACAAGAGACGAGGAACAGGGGAGCTGAAGTGGATGTTGGAGGTGCAGCCTGCCTCAAATTGCATATCATATATGTCACATGCAGAAATGTGCCATGATGAATGTCTAAATACCTTCTAGAGGAATTAAATGTGCACAGGTGTGCAATGTGCATGTAATAATAAATAATAATAATATGCCATTTAACTGACGCTTTTATCCAAAGCGACTTACAGTCATGTGTGCATACATTTTTACATATGGGTGGTCCCGGGGATCGAACCCACTACCCTGGCGTTACAAGCGCCATGCTCTACCAATTGAGCTACAGAGGACCACAAAATGTAAAGTATGTATGATACTTGCATGTGGGTGTCAAGTGTGATCAAACGCACATCCTTTAGTGGAGTGCAGGGTAAGAAAAAGACAGTATAAAAGAAAGAGCACACTCATAATCTCCACCACGTACCTTTGTTAATAAACAAACTACGTTTAGATCCTGCATTGTATGTGGGCCCTGTCTGTGACAGCCCCCTCCCCCCTCCCATTAACATTCATGGAGCCAGTGGAGCATTGCGGGCTGCGTCCATGAAGCCAGCGCAGCGTTGAGATATGGCGGTGGGGGAGAGAGATAAGAGGGCCAGGAGGGAGGGTGATATAGAGGGTGAGGAGCGCTGTGCCGGGGCATTCATTCCCAAAGGTCACCCAGTGTGGCTCTCTGGGAAAGGTCAGCGGCCAGCCTGATGCAACGGCCATACATCACCATTATTACTGTAGGCCATTGATTGCTATGGAAATGAGGTGGGCTGTACACACGGCAGGGCTGGGGAAGGTCAGGCCATTGAGCAGTTATTACCGTGTTTAGAAAACATGTCATCTCACAGTAAACACAACCTCAGCCTGCACTACCCTACCTACAGTATGTACTGGACGAGGACAGATAAGGAGGACAGTCAGAGGACTAGCCAGCTACTGTCCTCTCTGTCTCCAGTGTGTGCTGGGAATCAGTATGGTCTCACTAGCATATGGAAAACTACAACACTCCTTCTATGGCCTTTGTAAACTCACATATAATAGGACAATCAGCAGTCTATACATTACAACTGAAGAACCTGTTAATCTAATTTTGAAATCACATCAACACTGACCAACTACAGAAGATGGCATCACAGACTAAAAGTCTTGTGAGTGCAGGAGAGCAAGTGAGTGAAGCAGCACACAGGGATTTATGGGAGGGTAGCCGTAATGAGGACAGTCATTTCAGGTTTGTGAGTGAGGCTGAAGTGAGTGTGTCAGATGTATGGCTGTGACAGGAGGACAGGACAGCGGAACACTGAGCTCTGTGACTTACAGCCCCAAGATAGAGGAGGAGGTGGTGATAGGTTGAAGAACAGGTCAATATTGGCATGTCAGTGAAGTGTGCTGCCTTTACTCCTGTAATGCACCAATAATAATCAACTCACCGTGCGTCGTCATTCATGGAGCTGTGGTCGATGGGGGCCATGAAGTTCACCAACTTACTGTGGATGTGGAACCTAGACAGACACATATGCAAGCGCACACACAAAAACACACACACAAAAACAAACATCATCAGAAATAGGGAATACACACACGTTCTATTATGTTGTAAGTCACTCTGGATAAGAATGTCTGCTAAATGACTAAAATGTTAATGTAATGTACATGTGTGTAACTGTGGTTTGTCCATTATGAGTGTGAGTGTTTGAGTCCATGTGTTAGTTCAGTGTGCCTGCGTGTATAAGATAAACAGAGAGAAATACAATGGGCACAAAAGGCGCCAAATAAAAGGTTGGCCTTTCCACTTGGAATACCTGAAGAAAACAAATAGCGTAATTGCACTTTTTCCACTGGAAAATAGTTTTATACTGTATATATATAAATACAAATTATCAATTTGAGTCCTCAAATATTTAATCAGACCACATGGAAATGTAATTTACATTAACAGACGGGTACATTTTCTATAAAAATATAATTGAAATAACTGAAAGGACTATAGATAAACCAGCATATAAACCAGCATTAGAGGAAGTGAAATCTATTAGTTTTTTCATAAATGAACCATGGGGAATAAATGCTGTCATTGGGGCCTCCATGGACAGAGAAACACAGATTGTTCTGCAGTGGATGTTAAAAACAGACCTAATACACCTAATACTGCTAACTGACATAAATGGAACAAGACATACCAGGAAACAAGGGCACTAAATTATTCTGAGAGTTTTAAATGTGGAGAAAAGGAAATATTCTAGTGAATCAATATTTCCTCACATTATACCTTCGCTGTTCCCTCCACTCACCTGACTTTGCGGCCCTTGCTGGCCTTGGTGTCCACTTTCTTTTTTATCTTACTGCGGAGCTTCTGAATGGCTAGCCATTGTCTGGAAGAGTAGGAGAGGAGAGGATGTGAGGGCCCCTATCAGACAAAGCCTAGAGGGGTAACCCCAGATCCTAGCACCACACACACAGACGCATGCACACACACATCACTCACCTGCCCATAGCCACCTGGTCGTTGGGGTCTGCAGCACTTGTCTTGCGTTCAATAAGCTCCCGCAGAAGCTGTTTTGAACAGAGTAAGGTGAGAGGAGGGATAGAGAGCAAAAGGGGAGACTTAGTTTGGTGTTTCGAAACACCATTTTGTTTCAGGTGTTTCCTCTGTGTGTGTGTGTGTGTGTGTGTGTGTGTGTGTGTGTGTGTGTGTGTCTGTGTGAGAAGACGTCTTTATCACCCCTGCTCAATCACCAAAGTACAGAGCTCTCTCTCTCCCCCTCCTCTCTGCCCTAGCAGCAAATCCATTCACTTAACCTGGACCTCTTCATCAGCGTCAACCCAGCAGCCAACCACAGAACATAGGCCCAGGCCACCCAGGCTCTGCCAGAATGAACCACCGCTGGGCATCAGCCTCGGTTAGAGGAGTAACACCGTCCCAGGACCCCAGAGCATCATCAGCACTGGACCTCACAGTACAACATCTTAATGAGGACAGTTCTCATTCACACTCCATTCACACAATTGACACCGACTACACATAACCCCACACAGCCCCACATTACAGGCAGTAGTTTCATTACTCAGCCCTGTTCCTTTGTGTTCCCCCCAGAGATAATAACGTCTTGTCTTGACTGACCGGACCATTTTGTTTTAATCGGCCACCATGCAGCCCTCTCCCTGACCCCTATCAGGAGAGAGAGAATCTTCATTAATGTCCCCAATTAACCCCTCTGGCTCTCCCTCTATGGGGCTCTCTCTCTGTATGGCCAGTTTCCAGGCTCTGAGACAGGGAAAGATAGTGAGAATGGGCACCAGCAACACAACATGCACACTACAGTGGGAAGAAATGAATCACCCCCTCCCCATAGCTTTCCTCATCCTTGGTTAGGACGTAGGTTAGGAATGTGCATATCTTGCAGTTCCTTAGTGAATGTAACTGTTAAAGCTCCATTGGTGCTACATAATTACTCTAATCCAGTGTGGGAGTGATTGCTCTGTTCACAGACACGGTTAATGACTACGCCTCAGCTGTACTGAGCAGTGTGAAGATAGTAGTATAGGAGTCAGCATCACAAACACACAACAGTGATTTATGGCATGCACAGAGTTGCTGACTAAAAAGGTTTCGGTGAATGCAAACATCAGTCCAGCTCTGGCCTGCTGTGAGAGGTTAGCCACATTAAAACGCATGTATTACTGGAGTATTACTGGAGCATAGAGGGCTTAGTCCCACAGGGAACGGCTCTGAGCTGCACTTCCGGAGCCCTCAGACTGGGATGACAGGACGGTGTCCTCTAAAGGACCAACTATAATAACAAGGGCAGTCCTGGTACTTCACGCGACACAATGTAGATCCAGGATTATTGTGTTAAGCCAGACCTAGACTCACATCACCATGTGTAGAGGTTGAGGCACCATTCCCAAGATCACAGCATCCCTTATTGCTGATATGCTGCCTGTCTTTTGTCCATTATTATGTGTCCAATTTTGTAAGAAAATGGAAGTGTGGTATCAAACAATATATATTTTTAGGAATGGTTCAGTCCTTGTGTGATGATTGTTTCATGCAGATAGGTTGATATTTACCTGGTGATAGAAATCATCATCATCAAAGATTTCCTCGTCCAGGTCTTTCAGATGTGTGTTAGCTTTCAGCAGCTGCTCTGTCCCCTGAGAGAGAAGAGAGAGAGGAAGAGGAGGGGAGAGGGGGGAAGCGAGGGGTGAGAACGAGGGAAAGCTCTCCGTCATGTAGCGATGCAGGAGGTAAAGCCATAAACTCCAGATGTAACACCCCAGATAAACAGGCTGCTCTCCAGATAAAGTGGCACCTCTGGAGGAGGAAGAGGGATGGCTGAGCCGCGCGGGACCCTAATCTAAAACTGCTGAAACAACCCCACTCTCCTCTATCTCCCATAATGTATTTATTTACCAACCTGCAAATGCTCCTTTTTTTTTTTTTTTTTTTACCTTTATTTAACTAGGCAAGTCAGTTAAGAACAAATTCTTATTTACAATGACGGCCTACACCGGCCAAACCCAGACGACGCTGGGCCAATTGTGCGCCGCCCTATGGGACTCCCAATCACGGCCGGTTGTGATACAGCCTGGAATCGAACCAGGGGGTCTGTAGTGACGTCTCAAGCACTGAGATGCAGTGCCTTAGACCGCTGCGCCACTCGGGAGCAAAAAGGTTGGAATCATTTTGGGCCGTAACATTGCCTACATTTCAGGTTAATACAGTTCAGATGCTGCAGTTTCTGACTAGATTAAGTTAAGATACAGAGCTTAATGCATCTCACTCAGTTAATGCTGTAACAGATGAATGCTTAACAAACTAGAAGGAATCTGACTGAAGAGGGGGTTTCATGGTGACAGCTCCCACCAACTAAAGATACACTCCTAAAGGTCCAATGCAGCCATTTTAATCTCAATATCAAATAATTTCTGCGTAACAATGAAGTACCTTATGGCCTAAACTCACGAAAGGCAAGCGTGTGAGGCGTGTGTGTGATTTATTTTAGAATGCATTGTTTTGAATTATAATGACCTTACCGAAGCCGGGCGGGTTGTCCGCTTTGACATCTCGCTCAATTAGAACGTGTCTCTATTTTTGCATTTTATAGCTGGCGCTGCAGTCACACACTTTTCTTTTGTATGTTGTCATTATTCCATTTGTTTTATTATTACTCATTTGAATTGGAAGAGGTAGCTAAGGGTTGAGGCTTTAGCATACATGCTAAATTAGGCCAATTCATCCACTTATGGAAACACATCGCTATCAGCAAACATGATTGGCGATATGGACTATCCTGCTAGCATACAGTCTCTGCTCTGCCTGTCAATGTCCTTTCCACCTGCCTCGCTCTGCTTGCTCTACCCGCCCGCTTCTGGTGAGTTTTTCGCTTCTAAGCAAATAGCAATTTTTCAAGCAAGAATTTTGCTAGGACTTTCTGGGAATGGTCTGAGTGGTGAAGGGAAAACTAGCTGCTTTTGGCAGAGAGGTTTGGAACGCTCTTTATTATTGAACTATTAACTCATTTTACCACCTGGTGATGTCACCAGGCAGGCCAAAACTCCATTCCACCAAAACAGGCTGACATTTCTGGTGGTCTTTTCAAACAGCTCTTACACTAAAAGGGCATCATCATACTTTTTACATTGTCACAGTATTATTCCAATCTCATAGCGTGGAAATATATATAAAAAATGGGCCAAAAAGGTAACTGAAAACTGTGTTGTATAATGCAAGGAACCACTTTGCAAAATACAATTATTAGGCCTATTACCATACAGAGAATCAAACAAAAATGTAGGCTACCCTCTGCCTATTGGCTTCTTTGTATATTCAAGCCTGTCTCAAAATACAACACTGCCCATTTAAGGCTCTCCTGGAGGATGGTTGGCCACCCTTCATAGCCTATAAAATATTTCAACATTAGCTTACAAGTACAACCTTTATAAAAAATAGATTGACAATGAATCAGGAATCAAATGGCTAAAGTAGGCTACTTCAAAGCAAGGTAACTAAGGCATGTTTATTTATAAACATATTCTAGAATATTCCGGTTTCAGGGTAAATCTATTGAGAGCATGGGACTGTACAAACCCTGTTTGCTGACCAAGAAGTTGCTATAACTGTGGAAATAACTCACTAATTAGCAAGGAATATCAACAAATGAGCACACGTGGCTACATGCTTTGATCTGAAAAGCTCACAAGCAGGGATGATTGAAAGGTCGCTGTCAGTGCAATACAATCCTACTCGATGCACTGTGCAGAAATTGGGAGAACAGCAATACATCACATCCAGAGGACAATGATCCAATTCTGATCAGAGTAATTGTTTGATATTGTGATTTTACTTGCCGCGGACAAGCGTTAATGTGGAGCTCTGCTTACAGTCAAAAGGAGGACACGTCACTACAAACACTCTCAGGCTGCTTTCGCAACATGTTACCTATCCTACATAACCCTCCTTCTTCCCCTCCAGTCTCACCTCTCCCTCTGCAGTGGTGGTCTCAGGTAGGGGGGCCGTGGCCTCTAGCTTGCCAAGGACTCTGTACTCTGAGCGTCTGGTCTGGGTGCGTCTCAGCAGCCTCTCCTTGTCCATCAGCACCTGTTCCACCTGGGTCAGGATGTTTCTGTCAAACGCCCCAAAACCCTGAGAGAAGAGATAAACAGTCAGAAACAATACCTTAACTCAGTTACAGCATCAGTACCATAAGATTATTCCTAATGCAGTATGTCCAGTGAAAAAAGTACCTCAACCCTGGAACAATAAAGATAGATTACAGTATAATTGGCATGTTAGCCCATGGTTTATGAGCGCTATTTAATGTGATTGAAGGGCAGCAGAGGTGTGCTTTAGGGACAGATGGTGGCATTATGCACAGTACTTGCTGATGGAGAACACACACACTGCAGTGCATACTGGTTAGATGATGAGAGCTGGGGGGTGGTGGGGGTTGGTGATGTATGCAAGTCCTCCTGACCTTGCTGCTCTTCCCCATGGTCAGCTGGGTCTTGTCGTGCCATTTCTGCAGCGTGGCATCGCGGTACGGCTGGAAGGCAGCGAAGCGCTTGGCCATGAAGTCTGGGTACTCAGCCATCTCCAGCTTCCGTTTGGGAGGACCTGTCTCCACAGCCGGTTCCACTGCTTCCTTAATTTCATCTTCCTCGTCACTGTGAATCTCCTCATCCTCCTCACTATATTATGGATACAGAACAAAATAGTACTCAACACTATTTTAAAGGCCCAATACAGCCATTTTTATCTCAATATCATACATTTATAGGAAACAATTAACAAGAACCTTACTGTAATAGTTTTACATTCAAATGGTCAAAGAGAAACAAAAATAGCTTTTTAGCAAGAATTTTGCTAGGACTGTCTGGGAGTGTTCTTAGTGGGGAGGGGGAGGGATATGTACAGTGGGGGAAAAAGTATTTAGTCAGCCACCAATTGTGCAAGTTCTCCCACTTAAAAAGATGAGAGAGGCCTGTCATTTTCATCATAGGTACACGTCAACTATGACAGACAATTTGAGAAAAAAATATCCAGAAAATCACATTGTAGGATTTTTAATGAATATATTTGCAAATTATGGTGGAAAATAAGTATTTGGTCACCTACAAACAAGCAAGATTTCTGGCTCTCACAGACCTGTAACTTCTTCTTTAAGAGGCTCCTCTGTCCTCCACTCGTTACCTGTATTAATGGCACCTGTTTGAACTTGTTATCAGTATAAAAGACACCTGTCCACAACCTCAAACAGTCACACTCCAAACTCCACTATGGCCAAGACCAAAGAGCTGTCAAAGGACACCAGAAACAAAATTGTAGACCTGCACCAGGCTGGGAAGACTGAATCTGCAATAGGTAAGCAGCTTGGTTTGAAGAAATCAACTGTGGGAGCAATTATTAGGAAATGGAAGACATACAAGACCACTGATAATCTCCCTCGATCTGGGGCTCCACGCAAGATCTCACCCCGTGGGGTCAAAATGATCACAAGAACGGTGAGCAAAAATCCCAGAACCACACGGGGGGACCTAGTGAATGACCTGCAGAGAGCTGGGACCAAAATAACAAAGCCTACCATCAGTAACACACTACGCCGCCAGGGACTCAAATCCTGCAGTGCCAGACGTGTCCCCCTGCTTAAGCCAGTACATGTCCAGGCCCGTCTGAAGTTTGCTAGAGTGCATTTGGATGATCCAGAAGAGGTTTGGGAGAATGTCATATGGTCAGATGAAACCAAAATAGAACTTTTTGGTAAAAACTCAACTCGTCGTGTTTGGAGGACAAAGAATGCTGAGTTGTATCCAAAGAACACCATACCTACTGTGAAGCATGGGGGTGGAAACATCATGCTTTGGGGCTGTTTTTCTGCAAAGGGACCAGGACGACTGATCCGTGTAAAGGAAAGAATGAATGGGGCCATGTATCGTGAGATTTTGAGTGAAAACCTCCTTCCATCAGCAAGGGCATTGAAGATGAAACGTGGCTGGGTCTTTCAGCATGACAATGATCCCAAACACACCGTCCGGGCAACAAAGGAGTGGCTTCGTAAGAAGCATTTCAAGGTCCTGGAGTGGCCTAGCCAGTCTCCAGATCTCAACCCCATAGAAAATCTTTGGAGGGAGTTGAAAGTCCGTGTTGCCCAGCGACAGCCCCAAAACATCACTGCTCTAGAGGAGATCTGCATGGAGGAATGGGCCAAAATACCAGCAAGTGTGTGTGAAAACCTTGTGAAGACTTACAGAAAACATTTGACCTGTGTCATTGCCAACAAAGGGTATATAACAAAGTATTGAGAAACTTTTGTTATTGACCAAATACTTATTTTCCACCATAATTTGCAAATAAATTCATTAAAAATCCTACAATGTGATTCTCTGGAGAAAAAAAAATCTCATTTTGTCTGTCATAGCTGACGTGTACCTATGATGAAAATTACAGGCCTCTCATCTTTTTAAGTGGGAGAACTTGCACAATTGGTGGCTGACTAAATACTTTTTCCCCCCACTGTAATCTGAAAACTAGCTGTTAATGGCAGAGAGGTTTTGAACTCTCTTTGTTACTGGTCTATATCAACTTATACCGCCTGGTGATGTCACCATGCAAGCCCTAACAGGAAATAACACAGCAAATGTATTCACACTTTTACAGTGTTAGTTTCATCAGTTGTTGTACAATATGATACAAAACACAGGAAAACAGAATTTTGACTGCACTGGGCCTTTAAAGGTAGGTTGAATTGCAGGGCATTTAAGAAAAATATTGCATCCCATTCTGGTTAATCAGGAGAGTGGTCCATGTAGCAGAGCACTACATGTGTTGTCTGTGGGTGTGGAGGAGAGGCAGTGCTGACCTGTGTGCGCCCCAGGTGTTGCCCAGGGAGATGGGCCTGGTGTCTGGGTTCTGATGGAGCAGCTGGTCCTGTAGCTCCAGTAGAGACCTCTGGAGAGCCTTCAGGGCTTTGTGACCTTACAGAACATCATAGAGAGAACATGCTGTCAGGATGTAATATACTAACAGAGAGATATGGGAACCAAGAGGGTAAAGATTGAGGGAAACATGCTATGAATATGGTGTTGTCTAAAGTAAACTTAACATTGGTCTTTGTCAAACTCTGAAATGACGATTAGTAGTAAATATGATTACACATTTTGTATGAATTAGGGGGAGTATGAGTGTAAGTGGCATAAATGTGCAAGTCAATTCCTCAATATTAGCTGGATGGAACAGGGAAAATAATAAAACAACGTTATGCCGCATAACAATAGAAAATATGCCTCATAACTTCACTTCTACAGCAAGTATTCCCCCCAAGCATGACTGATTCAAATCTTTTGGAGCAGATCCGCCTCGGCTTTTGTTAGTCCACATCTTGTCAACATCCATTAAAACATGCCACAAATTCTTGAGACTTTGCCCTCCAAATCACAGGGCGTAGAAAAAGAAAGGAGGTGGGGAACACTTATGATTCCATTCTCTTCAACTTTAATCAAAAGTACACTGGCACGCCGGAGCCCCCTCCCTCCCTTTCATAATAATGGGCAGCTAAAAATTCAGGAGGCAGGCTCCACATCAATCACTCGCCAGATTTGAGTCCAATGCAATAAATATGCAAATGAGGAGAAGCAAGTGTCTCGTAGCTTTGAGATCAGCGCAGGGAGAAAAAAAGGGAAAAACTGTATTAATTGCCCATAGCCAGAGGAATCCTATTACTGTGGGCATTGATTATAAAAGTGTGAGTGATTTTCATGAGGGAGGTGGACTACCACCACGCCTTGAGAAAAATAGTATTAGAAGAATCAGGACAAATCGGTCAGGTTTAAACAATAATGAGAGAAAGTCAAACTAACGTTTTACATATGATTCCACTGTGGAAACCACAAGGATGAAGATATTCTTATAAGAAAAGACAGAAAATATTATTTGGTTATGACAATCTTCCTGTAGTGATGTTTTTACCGCCAGCCAAGCCTACTTCAGATTCTAGTCACATAGTTTGAATTATTTTCTACCCACCAAATACTAAACCATAACACTAGCGCCAGCCTTGTCCACCAAGATTAAAAATTCATGTTTCAAATGCCAATGCGTTTAAAGTAACTTATTTTACGCACTAATGATCATTGCATATGCAGGCAAGCAATACACATTTTCTAAATCTGTGTCTGGGAGATAACATGTCTAGACAAAACATTCAGTATTATGACCACATAATTTACTGGGTTGTAAACTTTGTAATGTGTGTTTTTGTGTAATTCTTTGACATTTCAATTTTTTCCCAATTTCCCCCTGGGGATCAACAAAGTTAAATTAATTTCATATTCTTGGTAGCTGTAAAATAAAATGTACTGTTTAAAATATAACCAGAAACAAAGCACTCACTCTTCTTCAACGCTCCAGCAAACTCTGCTCCACCCCTCTTCTTGAACTCTGGGAAGGTATGTGGTTGTGGCAGCTTATTGGCTGTCAGAAGAGCTTTCTGCATTTTAATTCGACCCTCAAGTAGCTGGTCCCAAAGAGCTGTGGAGATTCAATAAAAATAATGACAAGGTTGTCTACTGAGAAAAAGAGGTGATAATATGTGCTTAAGTAGGTTCATAATAGTGAAGAACATATACTACACATAGCAGGTCTATCAAAATACATACCAAGTTGATCTTTCACAGCTTTCCCTTTCTCCACCTCTTCATCCACTTTCTCTTTAGAGAATGTCATCACAGCTCCCACATCGTCAGCTTCATCCTCCATCTCTTCCTCCACACTCTCTTCATCCTCATCTTCCTCGCCATCCTCATCACCACTTTCTTCATCATCATCCTCCTCCTCCTCCTCTTCGCTCTCTCCAAGGTGATCCATCCCCTCTGTTAGCTTATGTAAGCCTGTTTCTGAGGGAAGTGTGATGTCAGTCTCCTTCCACTTAGACACCAAGCTTTTCATCTTAGCGGTGTCACTCTCAATCTCTTCATCATCATCTTCATCTCCATCTCCAGCCTCTCCATCCTCCAGATCAGCATCATCAACATTATCATATTCTGCTTCCTCCTCCTCCTTTTCATCATCATTGTCCTCGTCATCATCCTCTCCTAAAAACCCACATTGCAATTGAATGATAAGACCAGGATTCAATATTACATTTGAAAAAAACAAATGGATGTTCATTAATAACCATACAGCAATCCAATGAAGCAATTCTAACTAATGCAGGCAGTTAAGGCTGTAGATGGCCTTCCACTCAGCACCTGAATAGCAGTAGTGATGCCGTGTACACAACAGCTTAATGCTGTAATCAGTTGTCTTCTAAGTTTAAATTGATTAGCTGCATGGCCCGTGTTTGACTTGCAAATCTTTGCCTTAGTCAAGGCATTATGTTTGGATAAAAAGGGATTAGCTTGATTAACAACAATGCAATTTCTCCATTTAATAGCCCAAAAAAACTGCCCACTTGAAGATGTAGGCCTAAGCTATTCTATGTTACATGCTTATTATAATTAAATGTCTACACATGATATGACGATACACAGCTGAGCATATATTAAATTGGAAATAAGGAACATACATCCATTAAAGCTATGGTATCTTGTTCACCAGCAATGTGTCTTATGGTAATAATTATAGGAGACATTAACAATATTATAAGAGAGTCCAGTGTGGCATGAGAGGCACATTTATTTGTAGTTTATTTTGAACTGAACGATAGACAGTTCCTTAATGTACAGGTGCCCCTTGCAAAACCACAAGAGGGCAGAATTCCACAAATAACAAATGCAGTGCATTGATGAAATTGCTTTTGAAATACATCCTTCCTTCCTCCCGTCCTAAGGGTAATCATGTATCTGATTGAATAAGTAAAATCAAGGTTACTACCTTATCGTTTCACCAATCCAACCTTGTCAGATCAATTCCAGGGACAGAAAAAAAAAAGGATACATTTCAAGTACTTGAATCCAAACTATCAGCTCTCATCCAACTTTCTTGACAGGTTCCTTATTTCCTTTTCCCTGTGGTCAGTTGCATTGATTATCCAACATATACGTTTAACATTATTATAAATGACACATTCATGTTCCAACTCACCAGAACCTGCGATCTCCTTTAGCAGGTCTTTACGGGAGGTTGCCTTGCCCAGATAGCGTTTGTCTGTCTCTTCCAGCAGAGTTATAGCTTTCTTCCAGAGCCCACTCAAGGCAACCACATCATCATCATCACCACCACCCTCATCAAACGCCTCTACCACCTTGGCTTTCGTCTCTGGGAGGAATCAAAACGGTGAGTTTGAATGATTGAAAACTGCAAGTTTATATTCATATCTGATCAATATACAAAGTGGCTGGCAATAATAGCTTACTGTTCAGGGTCAGAATGTTACAAATAAATCAGAAGAATTCTTCAAGAGAAAGACAAATCAAGTGGAATAACTGACAGGATATTGCCCCTCTCCATAAGGTCATGTAAATGTTGATTTGTATCTTCAGCAGAGTGGGAATACAGCATCGAGCCGACTTGCTAGCAATGACAATGCATATAAGAGGTTTGGAAAGATACGAATACTAGCTAGTTAGTAACATCCAACATCTCGTGAAAATATTTAAATGGTCAATATAGCTAGCAGCACCAGTAGCAGAATCAACTGTTATTAGAACTGGTGCAGTGGCTGTCCATCCTACACTGTGATCAGTTTGAAAACCTCACAACAAACACATGTCTATGTGGCTGGTTGCCAGTACTGTTGATAACTTTTGGCTAAAAGGGTGGTCATTTTTGGGCATCAAAACAGTTTATGGAGGTGTTTCGTGCTTTCAGTGTACTACTAACCTGTTAGCTAACTGGCTAGCTTAACGTTAGCTTTGCATGCTACCCGGCGTGTATGTAACGAGTTGATACATGAAAACGGAAACATTGTCCTCAAATCGAAAGCAAAATGTACCTATAAAACATTACAAACAGTGTATACCTTCATCTTGATCATCCTCTGGATCCGTGAACTTGGGCAAAGGATTTAATAAATCCTCGAGCTGTTGTGATATGTGGCCAGCCATCGCTTCATGCGCTCACAACTCACACATGTTATACCCACGTCATCAAGAGGCGACTCAAAGATAGAAATATAACAATAGGTACGAAATAGATCAAGCAAGCGGAGGTTGTTGTTCAGCCTATTTAATTTGGATTATTAAAATAATTAAACCAGATAATGTTGGGTGGACGACTACTATCCGACTTAATTGTAGTTCAGCATAATACACCGTAAAACCTGCAGGTAAAGTGGGCTATAATATATAGTAAATAAATAATATACTTTCTATATGTTGTAGGCCTACTTCTATAATTACAGTGCCACCGGGTTGTGACCGCAAATGTTTGCTGCCAATTCATACATGTAGGATCTCATTATCATGTTAAAAAAAATTTTTTGTGTGCATTTGAGAAATATGTAGGCCTACCGGTATATCACATTTTCTTAATTTATAGCCTATATTTTCCTCTTTCCCAACTCTAATCCCCATATAGGAGAGGCCTGTACCTTCTCAGACAGCCTGATGTCAATTAATCTGGTGATGGAGAGTTGAGCAGCATTGTAGACGTGGATGTGGCCCTCTGTGTACTGTAGTCTAGTCAGTGAGTGGATCCTGTACATCAGACACCCCCAATGTCAGGGATTAAAATAACATATCACTAGGGCCTAGGTGCAATTGGGTAAACTGTACTTTAGGTCTACTGTTTTAGAAATCAATCAAGTGTGCAGAAGGTGTGTTAGAAGTGAGTGAAGAAAGAACAGCAGCGTCCATATTTTCAACCTAAAAACGCCCCCCCCCCCCCCTATCGTTAAAAAAGCTTGCCATTTTTTTTGTACATGTTTTATTATACAGTGAATGGTCTAATATGCACTAGAGGTCACATAATCATATGAGAGTTGATATTTCAAGAATATAGCAGCTGCAGGTAGCATATTTGACCATCAATGTTTAATCATTTGGACTTTCATGTAAAGACACAAAATAATGCCTTTTGGACTATGGTTGTTCAATTCAGTGATCTGCATGAAGTCTTTCCACAATAGACAACCTCATTATATAATTAACTAGAATTTAACACATTCTGTTAAAAAGTGCTACTTTGTTTCTTGTAGTATGTTCAGCAATTGATGATGCAGCAATTGAATTGTGCTTTTATCCTTATTTGGCAACTGTCTATTTGTGTTTTTAAATGTTCTTCGAAGTAAACACAATAATACAAACTAGCACAGTGAGGAACCATGACCATAATATAAATAGAATAAATACAAAAGTTTGGTTTGTTGCTTGAAAGATGTTCGCATCTGAATCAAGAGGTTTCAAACAATGCTCATATTCAAACCCCTGAAGTACTGTAAATATATACGTAAACAGTTGACTGTTCTACTGTATGTCCACCTCAAACCATTGTCCACTAATTTTTAGAAGGTTGACTTCTAAAATATTTTTATATTAAATAAAAGGTAATACAACTTTTTAAAGTTTTCCTTTTGAAGGCAAACTCTCTAGGATTTGGCAAAACACATAAATATACAGAGAAACAAAAACAAATCGAGAAATAAGCACGATAACCAAAGCCATCATAAAAGCTTTTGGTCAAAAATAATTTTTATCTGATATGGTAGACCCTCTAAAAACAAAAGTTCTGCTGAATGGTGAATACAGTATTCACCATTATATGACTGCATTGGAGTCTGCACTGTTACTGTGTGTATTCTTAAATAAATCTGCAACATCAAAACAGCAGTAAAGGTAGTTAGAGACAAGTAATAAATTAAATACATATATATAATTACATTAATTGATGAATAAGTAAATAATATAAATAAAAGGGGATACTCGCTCAGGACTTAATTTGCCTCCTAAGTCAATAGTTAGCCTTGGCTTCATAATGTCCTGTGGGCTACCAGACAGTGCCTTCGCTCATCTCTGAGGAGGGGTGTGACAATTGGTTGCTGTATCCACTGCCGTTGAGGGACAGTGAGGTGAAGGGTGTGCTGACGCCACACATCTCACTTGAGATGCTGTGCATTGACCCAGGTCCGTTGGGTTCTGGGCTAGGCGAGTCCGCTGGATGGTGAGATATGATGTCAGTGAAGCACTGCACCTCGCCACATGGGTGGTGCCCAGCTAGGTGATGGTCCATGCCCCCTAAAGGGGTGCCAGCGGGGCCAGAGGAGAAGCCTAGGTCCACTGGAGTCTGGGCCTGCAACAATGGGGGGCCTTGGGTGTAGTACTCAAAATGTCCTCCAGGTCCATAGTATTCACTCTGATAATCTACAAACATATACACCAGAATTATTATGGGAAATGCTTGTGTGGTGAAAATAAAAACAATAACAATATGTACTGTACTGGTAAAATGCAACTATAGGAATGCCATTTAAATTACAAAAAAAAGTACAACTATTACATTTCCAGTAGTATAAAGGGTTAATTTCCCATAATAGTGATTTGGAGGATGACAATATTGTAATTAGACTTAAAACAATGACAACTATTGCCAATTATTTTCCCTTATTTTTTTCACCCCAAGAATGTTTAAATGTAATTCATACATTAAGCATAGACCTATTGCCCAATTGTTTTTTAAAATACATTAAAACACCTGTGAATTATGAGTGATATTAGGAATCTAAATAAGGTAAAGGCCTGTGCATGGCTCTCATAGTCAAAATGCATTTCTGATGATCTTTAAACACAAATGTGTTATTTGGGTGGACCATGGTGAATATAAAATACCTTACCTCCATAGTATGAGAAATGACCGTTGGGAATCAGCTCCCCGGGTTCGAGTCGGTCCACCAGAGTTCTCATTCTCCTTGGACTGCGGAAGAACGAGTGCCTTCTCGCCCCCAGTGCACTCAGCTGCTTCATGCGCCGCTCTTTAGACCGCCGGTTTTGGAACCAAACCTGCACAACACAAATTACATGGAAAGAGCTGATTGAAATTGAGTTTTCAACGCCAGCCAAATATTTATTTTGTGCATTAAAAATGTGTGCAGCTTCTCGAGGTCCCAGGTCTGATGACATGTTGTGAGATGCCCTTTTAATAACCATGACGACGTGATTAGCCTATAGGCCTATACCTCTAAATGGGTCCTTGGCTCAACTGTCAACTGTTTAATGATCTTTAACACAGTTTATCGTATGTTTCGTGAATACCAGGGACTTAAGACCAGCTAATAGTCCAACATATCGCCCAATGCTAATGAATAGGCTAATTTCCAAATGAGAAAACAAAGACCTTTGCTTTGATATGTATAGGCTATAGATACCCTAGAGTTCATGGGGGGAAAACGTTGTGAAGTCATGACAATATGTGCATCTGCACCACTTTCGTGGTAAGCAATCTGCATATCTTGCCACCTGCCATTATTGACCTAGGTGCCATTGAAATGAAAATACTTTCTCACAGGCCCGTATAAGAATACTGAAAATAGGCATCTTTGTGATTGTTCATGCGATACAGGCTAAAGGGAAATGGACTCCTACCTGGATCACTCTCATGTTGAGACCTGTCTCCTGGGCCAGCTGTTCTCGAATGTGTCTTGTGGGTTTTGGCGTGGCCGTGAAAGCAGCTTTGAGGACCTCAAGTTGCTTGGCTTTGATAGTGGTTCGCGGCCCACGTCGTTTCCCCCCTACGTTCTGCTCATCGTTTTCATTGCTGCCCACCTCTTTATCGGATAAATGCCCGATTTCCGAATCTTTACCATCATCCTGTGGGTCTTGGGAATCTGGAGATAGACTTGGGTCACTGCAAGTCCTGACTGTGAGATGAAAGAAACACGAAATGAAATGACTTTAAATGTATTCGTATGTCTTTATAGCCTATTCATTAACAAATATACAAAAAATAAATGACAAGAATACCATATAATTAGGGTATTATTAGGCTATTATTAGGCCTATTAATATTGTTATTATTAGTATTATGCATTAGACATATTAGCCAACTAATTTTTGTCATATTATTATTGGTGATGGTAACATGAATGAACAATAAATGATAATCATTATAATAATATTTGAGATTTGAGATGTTTCATCGTCATCAACGTCATTGTTTAGAATTTTACTGTTATTAAGCCTATCAGGATACTGTTATCAAAATTATTTTCGCCCCCAAAAAATGTATTTTTTATGAATGGAATATAAAGCAATAGCAAAAAGACGAAAGTAATGATTTACAAGAGGCTATATAATTATATGGAATATATACATATATAAACGCTTTACGGCTGAAAATTGTGATTTGGTTCAAGTCATGTTCCATACCTGAGAGGAGGGTTGTGTCCTTTCCGTTGCTGTTGCTTAGATAGTCCTCTTTACAAACAAACTTAAATTCATCTAGAATGTACATTTCCTCTCCAGTGGATAGCTGTTTGTTACACATCATGCACGTGAAACAGTTCAGGTGAAACACTTTGCTCTTTGCTCTTCGAACCAAATCGTTGGGCGAGATTCCCTGGGCGCAACCTCCACACTTTGTGCCAAATCTCCTAAAAGAAAGAAAGCAAAAAAAGAAATACCATCATTGATTAAACAAAGCAGCAGCAAATAGCCACACAAAATATTCACATCAGATTACCAATAACATGACAACATTACTGGCAACATTATAGATTTACACGAAGGGATATGCGTTTTTCATGACGCAAACTATTTTATTTTCAGTATTTTGATGCTTACTATATTTTTGATGAGTGAATATAACTATATATCAATTTCGTATGCCTTTTCTTTTCAAGTTTGCTTTTGAATCCGGAAATTACAGGCTACACTGATGTTGAGCCTGCAGTAGCTTCCCGGCCACTATATTAATTTTACGTGGGCCTATTTCATACAGTTAAGTTATTTAACAACCATGAATATAAGATATTACGTTTTTAGGCTAAATAAATTGTTTATAAATAAATATATATTTATCTTATATTTATGCCTAGGCCTACGTGTTGTAGAACTATTATTAGTTCTACCTAAAACTATAATTCAAGAAAGGCCACGCCGTTTATTATTAGGCTATAGACTGGAGATAAGTCAAACATGCATTCAAAAAAACTGTCCATTATTGAAATACATCCTATTTAATGCTCGAAAATAACAAAGCCACAGTTAACTGTTCAATGTTGCAATGAAGCCTATATTTATGTAAATAGATGTGTATTTAAATAGTTAACAAACGCGTGTGGACTGGAGGTCTGTGATTGCAGTGTGGGTTTTCTCAAGATGATTTATTATTCAAATCCACTTATCACATTTTCACTGGAATCTCAGCATACAAACGGGTGTGCGCCGACTGATTGAACGCGGGATACACTTCCGTCAAGAATCCTGGCATAATTCTCATCCCTGCGGCTTGTCTGACAGCCTTTCCTTGTAAACAAAGGACGCTTTTCTTTAATCCGTCACAGAACATGGTGATATATGCTTATAATGTATCAGCTTTTGGTGGATCACCACTCATAATCTGGGTATCCTGCCTCTGGTTTGTTCAATTTATGTCGCTCATGAGAATAGATTAAACAAGATTGACACTAGGCATATACCCCTGTTGCAAAAAAACAATCTTGCAATATAATTTTGTAATTATAAAACTTGCATTTCACATCATCTGTTGTTCATTTGCATAGTTCTGCTTAATTGAATACCCAGTAGAAGCAAAAGCTCTTCCGCACAATATTGAAAGCCATGTGCCCAGGTGTGCTTACCTAAAAAAGTCGTTTTTGCAGTACAGTCTCCCTTCCCGTGAAAAACATTTTTCTGTCAAATTGCATTTACAGTCACAGCACTGTACGCACTTAATGTGCCATGGTCTGTCCAGAACATTGAGTAGAAACCTGTCCAGAATAGGTCTTTCGCAGCCGGCACAGTGAACCATATTTGGATAATTCCAGCTATTCCAAGTGAATGTCTTTCTTTTTTGTCCCAAACCAAAGCGATGTGTCTGTCTCCTTGGTCGCTTTGTTGATTTGGAGAATGCCCTGCTCTATTCCACTCCTTCAACAATCCAGAGGATGCATCTCATCCAAACGAATCTCTCAACAATGAGTTAGCATCATCATATCCCTTGAGCTCAAGTATTTTTGCATTCCTCTCGCATGCACAGAACAAAAATAGGATATAAAAAAATTGTATCAATAAAAACGAAAACGAACAAATAACTTAACAAAGAGGATACATTTCACAAGCAAGAATGCAAACTTGAGAGCAGCAAGGCCTCCCCTTGTCCATCAAGATGAGCCAAGAGGTGCGATAGTAGGCTAATGATTCAGTGAATCTGAACAAGGCATCACTACAATTACGCACGAATACATAACTGCCACACAGCCGAATAATTATTGCCAAAGCCGAAAGTGAACACAAATATGATCAAATCTGTTACATTTCTTGTCGATTCTGTCATAATCCTTCTATTCTTCGAGTATGATGCACTCTTTAGTCCAAGCTTCACTATGCTTCCCTCTGAAAGCGCACGAGCTAGCCTTATTACGAGCCTCCTGACGTCATGTTGAATCGACACCTATCAGCAGCTTGCTATTGGAGTGGCAATTACTATGCCTGCTAAACTTGCCGGACGGACGCATTAAGGACTAAAGGCGTAAATTCCCACTCGATAAAGCAGGCATAAAGCATATTCCAGGTCGAAGCGCAGCTAGGGTCTCCGGATAAGATACATTTAATAAGGTACAGTATTTCATGAAAACAACAGCTTTTCTTGTAGCTTATAGTCATTTTTGGCAGAGGAAACTAAGTTCGTTTACATCTAACAGTATTTATCTGAAATTGGAAATATAATTTAGAAGGCTATCATTATGGATGGGCCTTCCTATATCATTTGTTTGCAGGTCTTTAGAGATGAGAGAAAGTGAATGACACGGACGCACAACAGTTCACATATCGATTAATCAAACGGAATCTCTGACACATGCATGGGTATTTAGATTGTTCAATCAGAAACGTACGGATAAACACCCAACATATGTGACAGACTTCTCACTTTATTTGAAAGGAAACCACCCACCTCAAATGTGGAAGAAGGGCAATGCAAAACGACAGAGTTAGGTTAACTTGCAATTATAGCGTTTTATGAAGTTTGTGTTGTCAGACTTGGACGATACTGATGTCGATGAAGATTACATATATTTTATCATTACTAAAGTGGGCAATTAATCCCCATGCACATGAAGAATTCGTTTGGATGTCTTTGACAGACATTAAAAACTCACAAAAATATGTTTTAATGAATTGTCTTAATTTGTGTTTCACTCTATGGCTCTTAATTTCAAACAGGACAATATGCCTGTGTAATAGTATCTGGCACTGTATATGGTATGCTTACTTACTTACTTACTTACTTATTGTGTTCTCATATTTCTTGTGTGTTTTTTCTAGTATTACATTGTTATTGATTATTGTATTGTTGGGTTCTGAGTTGGCAAGAAAGGCATTTCCTTGTACTTGTGCATGTGACATTAAAAACTTGAAACTGAATGTTTTTCATAGATTAAAACTAATTTCAACCTCCAGAAATGTACATGGTCGTTGATGACTGTGTTTTGATGTCTTAACAATTTAGAGTAGCCTACATTTTCGCTAACTAGAGTTTAAGTAACATAATTGTTATAACCTTATAAACGACTATAACAATTTGTCAATTATTTTAGTAAATTATTATTCAGTATTTAGGCCTACTCTGGTCTAAAGGTCTACATTTTATTAGCCTACATTGTTTTCCAAAGTATATTTATAATACTGTATTAAAGCGACATAGCGAAAGAGTAGGCCTGAGAATAAAACAGTGGAGCCGTGACAGAAATGACAAATCATCATGACTTCATCCTCTGCAGATGAGGGGAGGGAAGGGCTCTGGGGGGTCTGAATAAAAGCTTTCTACATAGATTAATGTTTCCCTGCCCTTATTCTACATTTTGAGTGAAAGGGCAAGGATCATCATTATAATATCATGTCTAGCGATAGGTGCTCCCTGAAAGATATTATCGCGCAGTGGGCAATGCACTTGGGACAGTCTGCGGGGCTGGGAACAGGGCGATAGCGGATTTTCATGCCCAGGCTCCCACCAGCCACAGCTCTGCATGCTGCTGATATGTGTTGCCCGGGGAAATGTATAAACAATCAACAGTGTGGACGACTGAAACTGTTGTGATATAGTCCCATTCTGACTCTGAAATTTAAATCCAGGTCTATTCTTCTAGGCCTAGCTCCTCATATGTTTTATTTATTTGTATATGTGCAAAGCTTCCCACTGGGCACAGACGTCAATTCAACTTCGATTCCACGTTGGTTCAACATAATTTCATTGAAATGACGTGGAAACAACGTTGATTCAACCAGTGTGTGCCCAGTGGCTTTACAGGCTATGGTGGGCTATTAAAGGTCCAATTCAGCCATTTTTATCTCAATATCAAATAATTTCTGGTTAACAATTAAGTAATACTTTACTGTGATTGTTTTCAAATAAAATTGTCAAAAAGAGCAATTTCTAAAGCAAGCGTTTTGCTAGGGCTGTCTGGGGTTTGGAACTTTCTTTCTTATTGGTCTATTAACTAATTTACCACCTGGTGATGACACCAGGCAGGCCAAAACTCCATCCCACCAAAACAGGCTGAAATTTCAGGTGGTCTTTTCAAACAGCTCTTACACTAAAAGGGCATTATCATAATTTTCACAATTTCACACTATTATTTCAACCTCATAGTGTGGAAATATATTTAAAAAAACCACAGGAAAATCGTTTTTGACTGCACTGGGCCTTTAAATTGATCAAATACAGCTTATTATAACACTGAAAAAAAATAATGTAGGAAAACAAGCTGAAAGTACTAATCTTTTGCATTAAGAGATTAATTAAATCCGTGAGGGAAAAAACCTGTTTGTATTTGCATAGCAGCCACTGAGTCTTCAGAAAAAAAATAGAGGCACAAGAGAACTGATTTCAGTAGAGTAGATAATAGGGTGGCTCGCGCATGAGAATCACCACAATCTATTCCATTCGTCTGGTTGTCTTCATAGCCTTTTGTGTGCGCAATTGCAGCTCTTGTTGAAGATAGAGCCACCACCGGAGGACGGGCTTAATTTTATAGCCCACAGATCAGGAGAAAGGCAACGCTTTACTTTCGCCAGGAGAGAGATACTTCACCATCGCCTTACGGTTTTATGTTGGGGATATGTCAAGCAGATGAAAATAATGGCTAATTTATAAGCAAAACTCGGTAGTCCCTGCACCGCGCACATTGAGATAGCGTCTGGTAAGGATTTAGGGTCCTTACCATGCATGTGCGAGGCCCATGCATTTTGAACTCAAGGATGTAAATTGATAGTGTAATTCTCACGCACACGCACGCACACACACATAGACACACACACCATTCAAAAAAATATATAAAATAGGCCTAATTTTGAATACACAACAGGGTTTACACATTCAGCAGTCAATATTTAATAGTCTAAAATTAAAATAGACGTTTCAGATAACTATTTTCATGCACACGTGATTTCTGGGACTCAAGGAAATACTTTTTCTTGCAGTCTCAGGTTAACTTAGCCCTAATAATAAAACCATAATAATAAAACCATTGGGTTAATTTATGTTTCCTATTTTTAGACCAATCAATCCCACACACACAGCGTCTATTCAAATGACTGTGGCTGTAGCTGATGGATGACTGAGTGCTGAAGTCTACCTCTATCCTATACCCAGAGAATGTGAGAATCTGCAAATCACCCAAAACACAGTACACATAGGCCCCATCATTTCAAACACATTGTTGTTCCCCTGGTTACTTAATATTTTAATAGATGCATGTGAGATGCAGGCAGAGAACAGACCTGAGCAGAGGGTGATTGGAAAGACCTGGCTGTCAGACCTGCTTTAAGTCCCAAAACACAATATGTGTGCAATGCATGCAATTCTTATATGCTTTCAAATGCGATATTATTCATCCCACAAATGATCTGTTGATGAAAACATAACGTCAAAAATAAAAGGCTAAATGTCAAGTATATACTAAGACATACACTGGGTGTACAAAACATTAAGAACACCTGTTCTTTCCATGACATAGAATGACCAGGTGAATCCAGGTGAAAGCTATGATCCCTTATTGATGTCACTTGTTAAATCCACTTCAATCAGTGTAGATGAAGGGGAGGAGACAGGTTAAGGATCGGAACCTTTTTTTCAAATTTTTGCCTAAAATGACATACCCAAATCTAACTGCCTGTAGCTCAGGACCTGGAGCAAGGATATGCATATTCTTGATACCATTTGAAAGGAAACACTTTGAAGTTTGTGGAAATGTGAAATTAATGTAGGAGAATATAACACATTAGATCTGGTAAAACATAATACAAACAAAAAACATGCGTTGTATAATTTTTATTTTTTCCGTCATCTTTGAAATACAAGAGAAAGGCCACATTATAATATTGCAGTTTAGGTGCAATTCAGATTTTGGCAACTAGATGGCAGCAGTGTGTGTGCAAAGTTTCAGATTGATCCAGTGAAGCATTGCAATACTGGACTATTTTGTATCAAGTCTGCCCAAATGTGCAGAATTGGTCAATTTATACATTTTCAAGTACATAACTATAGAGAACATACAAAAATGATATGGTAATACAAAATGTAAGTTTACACACTCCCAGGAATGTCATACATGATAGATCATTAGCTTATACACTAACTTTCACACATCTAGATGGCCGGGCGGGCGGGGTGGGTGTGGAGCCAGAGACAGCAGGGGTTCAAACTGTAGAACCCAGTTCCTACATTTATATAAAAATGGATTTTATCAAACAAAATTATGCTACATTTTATATCTGGGACCCTTAGGATGACAAATCAGAGCAATATTACTG